TGGTGGAATAATTTAAGCAAGGAGATCTGATGAGCTGCTAATAAGCATTTTACATAGTCCATAGTGTCATTTTGACAAAAAGCACGCCGTATAACTTTTTTTTATTTGCTACAAGTGTTCAGGTGATACTCCCTTGAACTTAGATATTGGTCATCGGAGTTTGAGCGAGTTTAAAATATGTCCCCTGAGGAATATAGGTGGTTGGTTCTTAGAAGGTATGAGAAGTGTTGAACCTGAGACCTTTGAATTACTATAGGCCATAGTTAACCATTGAACCATTCTTAAGAGTTTCCACGGAACTATTCGTGACACAAACTTTCAACAATAAAAAGAGATACCTCTTGAATGTTTGTAATTTATTATGGCGCTTGAGTTTAAGATCCTTGAAAGCATCCATGCACTTTAGTAATATCCTTCTACTTCGTCTTCGTAGGGTAACCATTTGTCTTTTGATGCTGCTACATTTGTTTGGAGGAATATGATCCTACCCTTCTTTTTCATGCAAAAAGGTATGGAGTCTTTCGAGTTGGTCAATGATCAAATGAAGTGACAAAAGGGGAAGCTCCTAGAGAGTCATATTTTAGCTGAAAAGATGGACTACATTTCTTTTTAAATTTTCCTTCACTTTATTTTGTAGTTAGGAGTCTTTTATAACTGTTGATTTTGATTTAGTTTCTCTATTTAGTCCAATAAAAGGGTGTTTGTGTGCTTTTATCGCAATATCTCTTCTACCATTCATCCTTCTCTCACCATGGCCACCAGTTAGTGAGTACGCAATGTCGTAACTTCCCCCCTCACCTCATTAGGAAGAGAAGTCCTTGATTTTCATTTTTCTTAATTGGTTCAAAGGGAGAGCTAAACTAATGGTAACTTAGTGTGTCCCCTTGTAATGGAGTAAAAGCGAGACTACTAAAAAGCGGGCACAAACCTTCAAATCCTATCAACATCACTTAAAACTTTGGAAAAAAAAAAGAAGGAAATTTGATAAGGGAAGGGGGTTTGATTGTAGTTGAGAGGGATTTGATGATTTTGGCATTGAAGATTTTTCTACATCATCTTGCTTTGTCTACATGCGTAACGAAGCATTGGAGTCCGTGCAAGTGACTCAACTGCACAATTCGTTTTGCACTGTTATGTTGAATTGAACTTTAACTTCTGAAAGTTTGACTAATTTTAGCAAATCTAGAATCGGACCAAAAAAGCACACTCGAAATTGCAATTATAGTTCCTGCAGACACCACATAACATTGCTACCTGTCCATGTGTGAGTCTCAAGGAGCCAGCCTCTCGGGAGGAGTCTCAAAGAGCACTGTTGCTCACAAATCATCTCTTTAACTACGATTCCTAGCGTAGGAATGTTTCACTTCATTGTAAGCCCCAAAAAGCATTCTTCTCCTTTGGAAAATAGAGTTTGAGGGGCATCCCCAAATTTGGGCAAGAAGGTTTTAGGCGTATTTAAGTTCCTTTGTCTTCCTTTTTTGGCCCCCTCATATCTGCCTTCCCTGTGAGTTTTGTATGCAAAAAACTTTTGACCATTTCTTCCTCTCTAAAAAGGAAAATAGTTTTGTTTATCGGATTTGATATTTTTATTTTTCTTTTGAGTAATCACCACTAGTTGAATTACTATATATCATTTTGACTATGTTATGAGAAAATACATGGCCAGATCTAAAAGAGGGCATGATGTCCCTAAGGTTTGATAAATCCTACAATTACATACAGAATTCATAAAATGATTTTCACAGTTTGATGGAGTTCAACCTAAGACCAACAGTACTAAGAATGCGTTTGGAATTATTTATGTAATCTAAAAATTACTTTTTCAATAAGTGTTTATCAAAAGTGTTTTATAAAAAAAAAACACTTTTATTAAATAAATATTATTTGGATATTCAAAATAAAAAATACTTAAATTAAAATATTTTATAAAAAGTACGTTTGAGTGAAAAAATACTTATTTGTGTTACAATTGCTAAAAATGCTTAATCAAAAGTGTTTATTTAAATACCGGTATTGATTTTTTTTTTTTAAATTCCTTCAATTCAATAAACCTGGCTGTAGGTGTATTGACAAACAAATATTTCAGTTATCCAACCAAAATGGTAACATCTCTATAACATTGAGAAGTGTCATTACTTTCAGAAATGGTAATATACTGTTTCAGTATACGTCTTCTACCTATAATATTCGACAATTAACAAGTTCTATTAAAATTAATGCAATATTGAAACAAAAAAATTCGAAGAAAAATCAGGAATAAAATCTACTTTATCATTGGATTGCAAATAACTTAATAGAAATTTTTGCAACAAAATTTAAAAAATAATTCCGATAAGTCTATCTAATTGTACTACTTGTTCCGGATGACCTGAAATTGAAGGAAAAAAAAAACAACAATATAAACATTAGCATTCAAACATGTTCAAGCACAACATTAAGCAATAAATTATCTATATTTACACGATCACAATTACAAATTTTTTATTAGGGTTAATTATACTAGAGGCCCCCAAAGTATAAAATTTGTCTCATTTTAGTCCTCAATATTTCAATTGCATCATTTTGGTCATTGAAATATTGAATATGTTTCTATATAGTCCCTCAAACAGACGACATCTAGATTGCTAGCAATTTTTTATCATAAACTTGTCACGTGATACGTAAATATGGACAAAAAAATATTTTAGATAACTTTTGACCAAATTTTTACTCAAATTTTGGTTAAATAGCTACTTAAATTACATAGTTTTTATCATAAGTTATCCAAATTTTAGTCAAAAGTCAATCATATTATATATTTTTTTGTTAAGAGCTACCCAAATTTTGTTAAAAAGGTATCAAAATTATTTTTTATTCATATTTAGATATTACGTGACAAGTTTATGACAAAAAATTGTTATTAATCTGGATGTTGTCTACTTCAAGGACCATATAGAAACATATTCAATATTTCAGAGACTAAAATGATTCAATTGAAACATTGGTGATTAAAATGAAACAAATTATATACTTTAGAGATCTCCAATGCAATTAACCCTTTTCATTATATACTGTAAAAACTTTACATTACGATTGACAATATCTTGTAACGAGATCTAAAGGATGCAATTTCAAAAAAAAATTAAAAACCAAGCTTTCCAATTTGGAGAAATTTAGAACTAGCCTAAACATGTGCCACTGACCACATCTCTAATTTAACAATTGCTTCAAGAGAGAATGCAAAAAAATACTTCAAGTTCAAAAGCAAATAAATCAACATAAAAACTTAGTGCCATTTCATTAAAAAAATAATAAAGCTGAAAAAGTGTATAATGAAATAGCCCAACCTAAACCCGGTGGTTGTTTGTTTCTCAACACATGCTGAAGTGTGCATAAACATTCTTATTACTCTAGATATGATATATCCCATACTTACAGGTACAACTTATTAATGCATCACACTAGAGAAGAGCTAAAGGAGTTTGAGTTGACAGATAAAATGCTAGACGATCAAGTGTGGTATAGATTATTCCTTTCTATGGATTATAACTACTGAAACCAATCTCAAACAAACCAATGAACAAACCTTGACTACAAACAATTAAACCCCAAAATTCAAAAGTAATTGAGAAACACAAACTAACATGGAGGAAAAGGTTGATAAACAATCAAATGAAGATCTAGTGTACACATAATATAACTAAAGGGAATGGACCAATACACATGCTTAAATCAAATCTTAGGGCTTGTTTGGTTTACGTTTCAAAAAATAGTATCCGAAAACAGTTTTTGAGAAGAATTTTAAGAAAATGGTTTTGATATTTTTTGAGATAAAAAATTTGTTTGGTTATATGATTTCAAAAATAATTTTATAGTACAAAAAATAGTAAAATTTGTTTGGACAGCCTAAATATATGTTTGAACAGTAATACAAACATTAATAAAAAAATATAAGAAAGTTATTTTTAGATTGATAATTTCATAAAAAAAATTTAAAAAACCAAACTTTAAAATATATATATATATATATATATATATATATATATAATATAATATAATATATTATATACATAATATTGTATAATATATTATATTATATTATATATTATAATATATACTATATATTATGAGAGAAAGGAATAAGTAAAAAAAGAATGAAGAAATTTGCTGCTAATGAGACTCGAAGGGCAGACCTCATTAAATGTTAGACTTGTTTTCTGTTTCTTTGACTCAAATCTCATTTTTTTCTCAAAATTTTGAGAACAAAAATGCTAAACAAACAAGTTTGAGTGGTTTTGAAATTTTGAAAACAAAAAACAGTTTCCGAAAAGATAACCAAACATGATCTTAATTTCCTAAGAGACATTTTATCAAACACTTTATGGGCATGATAAGTCCATAAGAGCACAAAATCTTATAATATCATATCCTATAACATAATATGGTACAAAATAATTTTTTAATGCCAATATTTCATGCATCTAATAACACCGTAGGACCCTAACTGTCATATAACACTGTAGTTGGTAGTAATTAGGGTTCCGAAAAGAATAAAAATAGAGGTAAATAGAGAGAGAGATAGAAACAATTAAATGTACAAAATATGTTCCTCAAAATATACAAACTAGGACAAACCAAATGCAATAGAAACTGGAAAAAAAAAAAAAACATGACTAATTCATACTTATTCAAAATAAATTGGTCAGATTTGCAATAGCTCTGAACAAAGAACGAGAAAAGAGAGCCGTGAAAATGGCTCTTGGTGATCACCAAACACTTTGGGAAAATCACCAACGGTCAACGAGGTTGAAGAAATCTTCACAGCCACGGAAGAGGAACATTGAGAGAGTCGAGCGAATATGTGTAATAAAAAAATAGTTGGATAGAAGTGATGATTTTGACAAGTAAAAATCTTTTTTTTTTTGACTTATTTAAGTCATAAAACAATTTAATTTTTTTAAAAAGTACTTTTAAAAAGGAATACCAAACATTACATTTTTCCATTAAAACACTTGGTACAAGTTAAAAGTCCAAAAAACACTTTTTTTTAAGTAATCCCCAACACACTTAAATGTAACCCCAACCCCATCCTTATTCCTTTCCAAATAACATTCAACGGGAAACAATAGAACTAGGAAAACAAGCATTTTTCTTTACCTAACGAAAAAGACAAATGTAGTGGAGGGTATTATAGGTAGAAAGCCAAAATCCCCACAGACGTTTCCCTCTAATTCTAGTATCAAAGCCACACACAAAATACATGTTCAATTTAATAAAATGCCTTGTCTTTGGTGCTATTCAGATGAGACAAGGGACTTAGATGGCAGCAATTCCATGCCATAGAAAAAAATAGAACAGATAAAATTACTAGGCTTCAGAGTCAGACAGTCATCAAGTAACACCAACCCCAAGGTCAACAAGGCCGGTTACAACGTTCCCGTTCTGCCGCCTTAATTTTTGTATTTGAACTAAGTTGATGCTGGATGTGGCCATACACAAATCGTTCAACCCAAGCTAGAAACCACTTGTGCCAAGATCGCAGCACAAAAGTAATGACACAATAGACCCCCAGAGGTACATATTTACGTCTGGACGTGCGATCAAAATCGAGCCTTTCGTTTGCGAGCTGTGTATTTTGTATCTGGAGGCACAACATTTCCCTTTCTCCTCATTTGTTCCTTCTTCTTCATTACCCACTCTCTTCCCTTCCCCTTCTTGGTTATCTTTTGCTTTTTCCTAGGCCTATGCCTGTCTGAAATGCAAACCTGCAAGGCACAAAGAAAATTGGTCACAATCAGACATACACGCATTCAAAAACTTTATATCAGATTGCTAATAAGCATCAACATTCCAGATTCTAATAGAATTTATCCATCCTCATGAAATACAATTGTCAACAAATTATCACACACTAGAACTCACTGTCTGATTTTCTTCGTCTCCACTACCCTCATCAGCTGAGCAACTTTCTTCTTGTTCTCCTTTCCCTTGTGGAGTGGCAGCACTCAAAGATGGTGGACCACAAGTTAGCACAAGGTATTCTTTTCTTTTCTTAGTACTGTCACGAGAAAGTTAATCTCAGAATGGAAAGGTACATTTCATCAAGAATAACTCTTCTCATAAACAAAATGAAGAGATATTTTGGATCCTCTGCATACCTGTGTGGGTAGTCAACAACTACACCACCAGCAAATCCAGAACGCATGGCAAATCCCAGGATCAACTCACGCTGGGCAAGATTTTCAGGATATACTTGAAGTACTGCTCTAGCTCCCCTTGCCAAACATCTATATAATGATCCAAAGAAAGCCCTGCGAAATGTAGTGTGTCAAACACATTAAACTCAATTAGTACCATGATTACAATGCTCTTATTTTCTGGTAGAAAAAATTAAAGCAAATTGCAACATACTTTAATCTTAATCGAGGATCATGGGAGGACTTGTCGGCATTGCATAACCACTGCACGATCAAATCAAATGTAAATACAAATGTTCTCTATATCCTTTTAATCAATCTGAACAAACTATGAACTTCCAGCCACCAGCAGCAGCAAATTAGGCCTGAGCAACTTAGTGTAGTCGTGCTCAATCCAGCCAACATTAAAGCCACTCCAAACCCAATATGCCAGGATGAACAAGTATGAAAGGAGCTCATAAAGGCTCATGTTGGTTATAAATAGTTCTGGGCACCATGAATTTGTTAAACAATTCAAATGGTTAAATAACAAGTGCACATTCAATATAAAGTATTAATGGATCATAGTCACCCTTCAAAATCCATACTACTTAAATTATGCTTTCCAGTTTCCAATGGTAGCCTTAATATTTAAGGATTATTAGTAGATACCATAAAAATAAGTCATGCATACAGGCCTAGGCTTTGATAAAATAGGCCTTGATAGGGAAGTGAAGATGTATAGCAGCGTCTTGACACGGTAGGATGAAATACTTGACGGGATTGGTGTCCTGAAACCCCAACTATTTGGAACGACGCAGATGGTGATGGCAGAAGATATTCCTAGTGTGACAGACAGAACTCAACCTGACTAAAGGTTGGCCATTAGACATTAAATTATTTGCACTTATTCCCAATAGAAATAGGTCAAAACAATAAAAAATTAGATAATCTAATTCCTCTCTAAAAGCAATCGTATAAATTTAATGGAACCAAAAAAAAAAAAGTAGCTCTTTTAAGAAACCTATTTTCTGTCTTCAAAAAACAGATTCTCTATCAAAATATTTCTATCTCCATCAGGAAAACAAAATTTTCTCTCTAAACCCCACTTCTCTCACAGGGGGACGAATGGTTTTGTTCCTACAAAGAGAGCAATGACTTTAAATTGGGGAGTTTATTTGATTTCTAGAGAAAGAGAAGTGGGCTTTACAAATACAGAGAAACAAAGGCGGATAACTGTTATAATATACAAGATTTTGTGAGAGAAAAACCAATGTCTGGTTGTTTTATTGCTCATGTGGAAGATCAATGCAAAAGTGACCTGTACGTTTTTTGTTACAAAATTCGCTCTTTGGACTTCTAGTTGACATTGAGTCAAATTAAAAAATTTGAGGACCAAGTTGAGATAGTATGAAGCTTAAGGACATAATGAAACTATTTTATGAGAGAAAAACCAATTTGTCTGGTTGTTTTATTGCTCACGTGGAAGACCAATGCAAAAGTGACCTGTACGGTTTTTGTTATAAAATTCGCCTCTTTGGACTTCTGGTTGACATTGAGTCAAAGTTTGAGGACTAAGTTGAGATAGTATGAAGCTTAAGGACATAATGAAACTATGGGCAAAGGTTAGGGGCCAATAGTGTTTTTCACCCAAAATATAAGACATTTAAAAAATTTGAGAACTAAGTTGAGATAGTATGAAGCTTAAGCGCATAATTGAAACTATGGGTAAAGTTTAGGGGTCAATAACGTTTTCAATCCAAAAATATATGACATTTGTAGGCATAACTAAACAAAAATATTACTAGCAATAATGAGATTCTGAGAATTAAAAAGCTGAAAGAAAATTCTAAATCTGGTCAAGGAAAGGTGGCAACATAATGGCAGGAATTTTCCTCAAACTACTAGAAAAGGATATACTTATGTGTCCGCATATGTTACAAATATCCTCACAACGTATAGTTAAGTGTCCGCATATGTAATGTTTCAGGGTGTCATTTTCTGATGTTTTGGTATCATAATTTTAAATTTTTCTTTGTTTCTAGTTTGTTTCCGACATATTTATTAACGTTCTCCTTTTTTAGCTAATCGAATTTGTGAACTGAGAATAAATTCTGATCCTTGATTGAACATTACGGTTAAAATGAGAGAAAATGAGCCACACACTAATTTGGTATTTTTTATGTCTTAAATTATGCTGGTGAATTCATATATCTAGGAAATCAAAGTTAAGAGAAGTTGAGGTAAGAAACTTGACACCTCTAGGGAGATACATAATGATATGAGACTCAGCTGAAGACAAGATCAAGAGTCCAGCCACCAAAATCGCAGCTAACTTAAACAAATGTTCAGCATTTCTATTGGAGATGGAATCTGAAAATCGCAGGCTTTGCAAAAAAAATTACTTCATCAAGAAAGATTGATTCTGTATATTACAAAGTACAAATAGGGTTTCAAGACACCGACCTGCCAATAAAATAAGCATATTTAACTATGCACCATTCAATGAACAAGAAGAAACAAACCTGAACAGCTGAGATACTGATAGCTCCATCAATAACTCCAGGACGAAATCCTAGGCCCTACAACATTCCCAAAGCACATATACTATATCCTGATCATTTTTGTACTGAAAGAAAGTAAGCATGTGTATTGATATCTTGTCCAATAGTGATAACGTCCAATTCGTATAAAACTTATTTTCTATGAATCAAGTTCTATAGTAACACAATTTCCTTAATTTACATTAACTTCACGCACAAAGGGCCAACACATGGTAAACTAGTACATTTTCCTGCCGTGAAAAGAAACGAAATGAATAGTAGAGTATATAATCAACCCCAAGAATTCCTGGTTTTTCCCTACTAAACTCAGAAGATGTATTAATAGGCAAGTAACAGTTTATCTGTCCCACAATTCCACGTCAAGAAGCCTTTTTTGACTGAAATATACCATAGAAACTTAAGAGATAAAAGTGTCCCACATACAGATCTTCTCTTTTTTTTTTTTGTTTGAACTGAACCCACATACAGATCAAAGCTCAAAATTTGAGTGGCTACCTGACCCATGTCAGCAAGCATAAGATCACCCTCAACCTCACGCTCCAATGCAATATCTGGATTAGCAATTTTAAGATTACTTTAAAGATAAAAAGTAGAAATAGAGCAGAGGGGGAGGGGGGGGGGGGTTGGAGATGTTGCAATACTCCACTCAACAGAAACCCTGAATTCACATACTAAGCATTGACTGTGATATATCTAAGCCAATCCACTGGTGTCCATTCTCGGATAACGTCTCCCCACTAAGTCCTGATCCACAACCTACAGAACACAGAAAAAAAAAAGTGAAATATTAAATCTCCATTTATTATAGTGTACAGCTAAATGTTATAAGAGATGACAAGGCTCAAAGTGCTATTAGTTACATTAAGAAAAACTCTACATTATATCCATAGAGGAAGTATATAGGCCAGAAATTTTTGGTTAGGATCCGAATTAACATTCTAAGCAGTCCGAGATCATATTACCTTCATTATTAATTTTAACTCTGCCTAAAAATTATTGAAATAGGAATTTGGTAACAATTTCAATTCCTTCAAAGCCACTCAGCTTAAATCGAGCAACTTATAAAAATTACAAACTCCATATCAATAAATATATACAACTAATCTAGCCATGCACATACACAGAATTAAGTAATTAATGAGGCAAAATAAGTACCAAAAACTCTATTTTCTTTGTTTTTCCCTCTATTTTGCGTCGTAAAAAAGAAAAAGGCTTAAAGGAGAGTTGTCTCAAAAATTCGGTAAAGCCAAAGAGCACAAGACGATAGAACATATATTTATGATATCCCAATCATAACAAAAAAGAGAGATAGGTTCCGAAGCAACAGAATGACAACGCGTATACACACAAAGAGCTTACTAAAAATTACCAATGTCAAGAAGTAATCTGGGGACCCCATCATCAGGTAAAGCAAGAAGCTCCATAGCTCTCTCTGACAGTTGAGCCTTTCAAACATACATCAAAAACACATATAACATATTTCCGCACACATTCATACTTGCATATACGCCTTGTAATTGCTATAAATCAAATTGTACTTCGATTTACCTGAATTTCGATGATGCGAGAAGAGGAAGTGTACTTGCGAGCTTCTTCATCGTTGTAGAATATCTCTGGTGGTGCTTGCAGTTCCGGACGAGACGACATTTTTAATACTTCAATTCCGCTGGCAAAACCCTAGAAATTGTAGGCAAAGCTGGCAAAACCCTAACAAAGCCCGAGCACAATTAACCTCGCATCGCCGAAAAATGGGGAATGTATTCTCCAATGTATATATGCACATGTATATATCCAAATTGGTAGTAACCTCTTAATTTATATTGCTAACTTTTACTCCACTTCTTATATACGCTAATATATATATTTGTAATAATATGTTAATATCACATGCTTACCACCCACTTAATTTCACATGCACTAACATATATAAAATAATAAAATCATGTCACACGCATACATCCTCTTTTAATTTTTTTTTACACCCAATCAATGTTTCTTATTAATTAATAGTTACCGATCATGCAAATTCATATCACATGTGAACATGCTCGTAATAAATATTTTATATCATCATTATACATGTTCTTGTCTTACAAACAATGCCAAGGAGAGACAGAGAAGAACCTATCTGGCCAGCTATCCACCCTTTCAGAGAGTTCCTAGAAGCTTGTCAAAGATGCGGAGGCTTCTGTTGTGGCTGCCTTCCAAAAATCGCCTGAGTTCTTTCAAATAGGGATTAGCTACTGGTATGCTGGTTTTGAAGATTTCCGATGCCAATCCCTGTAATTGTTCCTTGATCTGGACCTTTCCAATATTAAATTGGATGCTGCTCAGACTAGGCAAGTTGCATGAGAGGAAAGGAGCTCTACGGAAGGCCAAGATCCCTCAGCTATAGAGAGTGGGGGTTGATATAGTTCAACAGGAGATCTGATTTCATCTTTTTTTTTTCTTTTGTTCTCTTATTTTAGAACCTTTGTAAATAGAACTCCTTTTGATATGAATGCAATCAGCTTGGTTTGGGAGTTTAGTTTGCAAGGTTCTCAACCTTAGAAGTGTTCCTCTCTACTCTTTCAAGAGTTTTTAATTGAGCTTTTAGTATTGTAAAGTGTCTTTTTTTTTTGGTGGTTAGCCAAGTTGATCCCCAACGAGCATAGGTGGGGTTAGGTCTTTTGCTAGTAAAAGCAAAGTCCAAAGGTTTCCCTTCCCTTTCCTACATTGGGAGCCTTTTATTTGGGATACCCCTCTTTTTCCAGCTTATGATAAAGGTACCTCGTGTAGAGGCTTGGTTTCTCCAAGCTAAGCTTAGTTGAGGTTAAAAATTATTGCACATTGTAAAAATTCTTTGAGATTTTATTAAACTTCTTCTCATATAAGAAGATTACATTAATTCACTAGCTAAGAAAACAAAGAAAAGAAAGAACCTTTAAGGAGGTGGTGGACTATTGTCCTTGTAGATCTTTTTGTAAGCTGACCTTTTCTAGAAAAATTTCTTTAGATGTTCTGCATTCCAAGCTAGTGTCAGTTGTCTCCCATCCAAGCTTCAAAGCTCATAGGTACCAGGCCTCACCATCCACTAACCTGATAGGGACCTTCCCAATTGTCCTTGTTTAGGATCTCTAGATGTTGGAGTCACCTTTTTCAATATTAGCTCTCCTAGAGAGAACTCCCGAATCTTCATTCTCTTGTTGTAGTGCTTGGTGATTTGGAATTGTTCTTTTTTCTCATCCAATAGATCTAGATTAACCTTGGGTTGTTCCTCGTTGTTTTCTTCATTGAAGTGCTAGATTCTATAAATTTCTAGTCCCATTTTAACCAGCTTCTCTACCTCAGTCCCAAAGTCTTTAAGGAGAAAGGGGTTTGTCCTGTGGGGTACCTTCTTACATGCCCCTAGGATGCTTGGGAGTTCTTCTGCCCATGGACCTTTTAAAGCTTCTAACCTTGTCATCAATCCTTTCAGAATGGTCCTAATGGTGACTTTAGCATGTTTGTTGGCTTGAGGGTGAATAGGGGACAAGTAACGGTTCCAAATCCCCAAGTCAAAACAGAATTCTCTAAAGGTGTCATTGTCAAACTATTTCCATTATCAATTATAAGAACTCTAGGCACTCCAAAGCAGTAGATTATGGATCTCCACACGAAGCCTCTGAGCTTTTGTTTAGTGATTGTGGTCAGTGGTTAAGCTTTTGACCATTTAGTGAAGCAGTCAATGGCAATTGCCGTAAACCTGTTCTGCTCCTTTCCATTTGGCAGATGACCTACTATGTCTATGTCCTATTGTGTGAAAGGCCAAGACTACTCATTGGGCTGAGCTCTTAAAGATATTGGCAAACCTCTAGCATTTTTTATAGCTACACGAGAAATCAATGGCGTCCTTCTGCATAGTAGGCCAGTAATACCCTTGATGAAGAGAATTATGCTCTAGAGCTCTCCCTCTGGAATGGTTGCCACATATTCCTTCATGTATCTCACTGAGCACATAACTAGCATCTTCTAGCTCCAGGCAACGCAAGTGTAGTAGAGAGAAATCTCTTTTGTACAAAGCTCCTCTTGTTATGACACACCTACTAGCTGTTCTACAGTGTTTTTGGGCTTCCACTTTATCCAGTGATTGGGTTCCTTGTGTTAAATATCGAATGAGAGGATAGGTCCTACCTTGTGTTGAATTGCATTTACTTCGTCATCTCTCTCCTCTATGTTGGACTTTGGAGGAGTCCAACAATAATAACACAAGGAAGCTCATTATGAAGAGATGAGGCCACCACAGGAATTCTCTACTCGTGGGAATTGTCATATATCAAAACTCTCAAATTGGAAGACATGCTTCTCGATCTTAGATAGTTAGGCCACCATCCTTTCATTTTTCGCTTTGTACTCCCTTCTAACTTGCCTGACCATAAGTTGAGAACCTACATTAGATTCCTTACTCTATGAGATAGTGCTAACTTCACACTAGCTAGCAGTTCTTCTTATTCGACCTCATTATTTAAGACCTTGAATCCAAACTTGAGGGCATATTCTGCCTTCTGGTCTAGGAAACCAAAATCAGCCTAGCACCTCATCCATCAGTGTTTGAGGAGCCATCAGTATAAAGGACCCAGTTCTTTGGTCCATGAAGGGTTAAAGTAGTTCCTCCAAGCTAGTGAGCTATGTTTTCCATGATGAAGTCTATCAATGCTTGTCCTTTGATGGAGGTCCTGAGCTAATAGGTTATATCAAACTCTCCTAACTCGATGGTCCACCTAGCTAACCTTCCTGACACCTTAAGTCTCTATAGGATTTTCCTGATAGGAGAATTTGTAATGACTATGATTATATAGGCATGAAAATTGGGGGGTAACTTTCGCACTGCCATTACCAAGGCTAGGGCCACCTTTTCTAGCCTTAAGTACTTGGTCTCAGCTCCTTTAAGAATCTGGTTGATGTAATACACCGGCTTTTGAATTCCTTGCTCCTCCCTCACCAAGGTAGAGCTGGTGGCCATTTCTGACATAGCCAGATAGAGATAAATTTTTTCTCTAGCTATTGTTCTAAATAGGAGTAATGGGGCCCCAAATATTACTTTAGCTTTTCGAAAGCTTATGTGCACTATAGTGTCCACTCGAAGGCTTTCCTAAATGTTTGAATAAAGGCAAAGGTTTATCATTGGCTCTTGAGAAAAACTAGTTGAGCACCGTCACCCATCCTATTAAGCATTGCACCTCCTTGATGTTGCGAGGTGGGTGCATGTCCATGAGGGCTTGGATTTTATCTGTGTTTGCTTCTATCCTTCTTTGGGAAACCATAAAGTCTAGGAACTTCCCAAAAGATAGCCAAAGTAGCACTTATATAGGTTCAACTTCATCTGATACTTCCTTAAGATTGAGAAAGGTTCGTCTAGTCGAGAGACGTGATCTTCTATAGCTTGGCTTTTTACTAGCATGTCATCGATGTAAACCTCCATAGTTCTACCAATTAAGTCCTTGAAGATGTGATTAAACGGGCAATGGTACGTTGCTTCAACATTCTTCAAGTCCAATGACATCACCTACTAGCAGTATAGTCCTTGTTTGGGTTTACACCCATTTATGATTGGGTATTGTATGTGTGTGTTATGTGCAAAAAACAGGGGTTTGAGGGAGGGAAGGAGTGTGTTATTGTATTGCATTGGTTTGTTATTAACTACTTAAGAGTGGATTCATTTGAGTAAATACGATTGAATGATTTTGCATTTAGTGTTAAATTTAAAAATTGCATTACTTTTTTGATCCATAATTCATCCATGCATTTTTTTGCATTTAGATTGTATATATATTAATGCGTGATTTTGAGGCAAGAGAAGTAGTTGAGAGCCATAAGGGATGAGTGGTGGAAGCCGTAGGCAGCTGATTGTTGAATCTATCAAAATGACAGACAACTTACAGGGACCGTTTGAGCAACTTGGACATGGCTCGAGCGGTCTCCTTGTTGGTCAGGCAATCAAACTTAGTTGTTCAGTTGTGATTTCTTCTGAGAGCTAGAGTTCAATACTTTTGGTCCCTTGAGCTTCTACTAGAGAAGAAGTCGTATGAGTCGCTCCACTTGGGGAGAGGAGGACCAAGCCTACCCGAGGAGATGGTTAAAAACTATAGATTTGACTTGATAGCTTAGTTTGATCACTTATTCTTGCAGCTACAAGAGCTACTTAGGAGACTTAGTATAAGACCATATGAGATCTTTTGAAAGTGTTTATTCGTTCATGGTTTTGTATTAAAGTATTCTATTTTTCTTTTGTTGACTTTTATTTTATTTATTTTCCTTTTTTGTGGCACACTCTTAGTTTTATTTTCCTTCTCATTATTGACTGAGTCATTAGTCTTGTTTGTCCTTTGCTTGTTCCATTTTGCCTAACCATGCTATATGTGTTATACATGTTCATCTGTTTTATGTGTGTTAGGCATTTTGTGATAAAAAGGGAGGAATTTTTGGAGTAAATTGGGGAGAAATTTGATTAATTAGCTAGTTTAGTGCATGAGAATAAAGTAAGAGGGAGTTTGTTCAAATACTCAAGGAGAGTACATATACAAACTTGACATGAAGTCACCTTATTTCCAAAATGCTCCCACTTATTTTGAATACATGAACAAGATGACCTTGTATTTAAAAAATCCATTACAAAATAATTTTCAAAATTCATTCGGTAGCACACAAAAGGCTCACCATTTGGCAACGCTTTACAAAGTATTTTTTTTTATTTTTTTTGCTTTTTTTAAGCAAAAAAAATAAAAATAAAAATAAAAAGTCAAGTTTGTTTTCCACACAAAAAAAACACTTTCAAAAAGCAAAAAAAATATCAAGAAGTCATAAGTCTTTTAAGAAAGAACAAAAAAGGCTTTTCATATGCAAATAACACCCACATATAGGGATGGCAGTGGACCAGGGAAAAACAGGTATTCGTCCAAACCCACCCCGTTTGAATCGGAGATGGACTATACGTATTGTACGTTGGACGTATACGGAGATACTCGTATAAACCCGTACGGAGATGAAGGCGGGGATGGACTTACCCTTAGCCCCGCCCCGTCCCGTCCCGTCCCTGATACCCGTTAAACATAAACCTAACGCCTCTTCCAGTCTTCATTCTATCAACAGTAGCACAGCGCCGCTCGCCTCTCCTCTTCCTCTAACTCT